TTGCTCAGGCTGGCCTTGAATTCCTACACTCAAGCGATCCTCCCGCCTCAGTCTCCCAAGTAGCTGGAACTACATATAGGTACTATTTCTGCTACAAAATATTTAAACTGAAATATAGAGAAATCCAGGCAGTAGCAGTACATAGCTGCAGTTCCAGTTACTTGGGAGACTGAGGCAAGAGGATCACTCAAGCCCAGGAGTTCAAAGACAGCCTGGGCAACATATCAAGACTCTGTCAAACAAACAAAAAACAGGAAAGCAGGGCTAGGTACAGTGGTGCATGCCTATAATCCCAGTGACTCAGGAGGCTAAGGCAGGAGGATCACAAGTTTGAGGCTAGCCTCAACAATTTAGTAAGGCCCTAAGTAACATAGTGATACTTTGTCTCAAAATAAAAAATAAAAAGAGCTGGGGATGTAGGTCAGGGATAAATTACCTCTGGGGATTCAACCCCTAGTACCAAAAAGAAAGAAAGAAAAAAGAAATAGAGATCCTAATTCCATTTTTTTTTAAATAGTTGCCATCTCTCGAATGAAATTCTAAATTTTGTCTTTTACATCTTGAAATATAGTTATTTGAAAGTCCATGGTTTGGCTGGGTGAGGTGGCACATGCCTTTAATCCCGGAGGCTGAGGCAGGAGGATTGCAAGTTCAAGTTCAGCCTCAGCAATTTAGCAAGGTCCTAGGCAACTTAGCAAGACCCTGCCTCATAATGAATGAATACATAAAAAGGGCTGCGGATGTGGCTCAGTGGTTAAGTACCCCTGGGTTCAATCACCATATTAAAAAAAAAAAAAGTCTGTGGTCTGACAGTTTCATGATCTGGGTATCCTATGAGTCTTTTGAAAAGATTGTCTGCTCTCCCTTGAACTTTGTTCCTTCCGTCACATTCCCTTGTTTCCTCAGCTATTTTAATTAGGGATTGGGGGCATATATGAAAATTGTTCAAAATAGCTGGGGACCATGTCAGTTTGGAGTTTGAAGAATCAGAGGAAAGCATGATCTTGCAGGCAGCAGATTCAAGTGGAACTGTGAAGGGGTCTGAGGCAGATCTGCTCTGTGGTTCTCCTCAGCTTCTCTAAACAATTAAACCATTGTTTCTCCTCTGAGGAATGAGAAGGAGGCACAGACAGATGTCACAACTGTTTCTCCAGGGATCATCCTTCTATATGGAGCAACTGAGAAGTAGGACATGAACTTCCCTTCTTCATTTAATGATGGCAGATTCAAGGTCTAGATTTAGGGGTCCAGCCTCCTTTCTGGAATAGCTGTTAGGTTTCACGGATGGGATCATGATGGAATAACTAGATTTCTCATAAAGGCAGGAAATTCCAGAAGGCTAGGCATATATGATTAAAATAGGACCATAGTGTTGTGTTCAGGGTATATGCCACTATATGTGGAGGTGGAGCCAGTAGTTCAGCCAGGTGGCGGGTGTTGCTGAGCAGATGTGAATAGTCACAGTTGTCGGGAAGAGGGAGGGCTTATCATGCCAGGGTGGACCAGATATCTCAGGCTTTGCCTTATCCCCAGATGTTTGCAAGTTAACAAGTGCCATAACTTAGAGATCTCTTCCTCTCAGTTTCCTACCACCTCTCTTGTTACCTCTAGATCCACATTCCACTAGTTTGCATTCTGGTTTTAAAACTGTTTATCTATAAAACCATTCAAGAGCTGTCTTGCATTTTGTATTTGTGGAAAGCAGTGTGTACCTAATCTTCAGATTTATACAAAGTTTACTCTGGCCTGCTTGTAGACAGTAGCACACCACAGCCTTGCTCCTGGCCTGCAGTGTTTTGTGTCTACTTGACAAATTTTAAAGTGAGTTGTAACGTAGTTGTTTGGGCTGATACCAACATTTAATCTCTTGGCAAAGTTAGTTAGCCTTGTAAAGTGAGCATCTGCCCATAGGACCATGATTAATAAAGGTCATTACTAAAAAATAAATAAATTTAAAAATAACTGGGCCCAGTGGCACACGCCTGTAATTCCAGTGGCTTGGGAAGCTGAGGTTGGAGGAACTCAAGTTCAAAGCCAGATTCAGCAATCCAGCAAGGCCCTACACAACTTAGTGAGACCTTGTCTCAAAATTAAAAAAAAAAAATAATAAAAGGGGCTAGGGATGTAGCTCATTGATTCAGAGCCCCTAGATTCAATCCCTAGTACAAAAATAAATAAATAAATATTAAATATTAAAAATAAATTTTGGAAATAATTTGAAGCCGAGGATTCGAAAATTCTTGGATCTTCTTCATTCAATTCAAGTGACTGAGATCATTTGCTCTGAGGGCTAATCTCATTCTGAATGACTGATAAACCTAGAATAAAGACCCATCCCCAAGTGTGAGGAGTTTGCAGCATCTCTTCCCCCAGCTACTCGAGGAGGTCAAAAGCACTGCTTTGCTTCTCAGCCATCTCTTCCAGGACTGGCAATTGTCTTGAGGGGAAAGTAGCTCCAAATGCCAGACTTGCCTTATTCTCCAGCCCTGAACTTCTTCCCTGCTTCTGATATCTTTTTAGCAGATGTTTTCTTTTTAAATATTTTTACTTGTATGTGGACACAATACCTTTAATTAATTAATTAATCAATTAATTTTTTTTGTGGTGCTGAGGATGGAACCCAGTGCCTCCTACGAGCCAGGCAAGCACCCTACAACTGATCTACTAGCCCAGCCCAGCAGATGTTTTCTATTTGCCTTGCTTTTCTAGTTCTCTGTGGAAAGTTTGGCCTGAATTACTTAGTCTCCCAAAACAGGGATATCTGATTTTCACTTAACAAATTATTTTGTTAAAATATAAGGGAGCCAGGAGGGGGTGGCACATGCTTGTAATCCCAGCAGCTCAGGAGGCTGAGGCAGAAGGATTTCAAGTTCAAAGCCAGCCTCAGCAAAAGTGAGGTGCTAAGTAACTCAGTGAGATCCTGTCTCTAAATAAAATACAAAATAGGGCTGGGGATGTGGCTCAGTGGTTAAGTGCCCCTGAGTTCAATCCCTAGTACCAAAAAAAAAAAAAAAAAAAAAGAGGCAGATGTGGGGGGCTAGGTAGGAAGCCATTATAATAACCCAGATGACAGAGGTTGGTGGCTTGGACCAGTATGGTGGTGATGAAGGTATATCCCATAGGAATCACTGGCAAATTGAATATGGGGATGGAAGAAAATGACCATCAAGAATGATTCCAGGGGCTGGGGATATAGCTCAGTTGATTGAGTGCTTGCCTTGCATGTACAAGGCCCTCATTTTAATCACCAGCATCACACACACACACACACACACACACAAGCCCTCTAGGATTTATAGAATGAATATAAGGGTGAATGGTTATGTCATTTTCTCAGATTTTGAAGACAAGGATAGGAACTATGTTGGAGGCAGGCATGGGAGGGGAAAAAAGTGCAATTTAGGTCATGGTAAGCATGCAACGCTTCATCAATGCCCAGGGGAGGTATCTCATGGATGGCTGGGCATATGTGTCTAGAGTTTAGTGAGAGGGATGGACTAAAAATAAAATTTAGAAGTCGTCAGCAGAGAATTTGCATTTTATAGCATGAGTCTGGATGAGTTCATCCACAGACAAACTGAGCCTGGGGCCCCCAACATCAGGGGGTCAGAGAGGTGGAAGAAAAACCTGAAATAGGGTGGATGGCAGAGGGTCCTGGAAGCTAAGTGCAGAAAGGGCTTCCAGGGCTGTGCATGGTGGTCCATACCATAATCTCAGTGATTCTGGAGGCCGAGGCAGGAGGATTCAAGTTCGAGGTCTGAGGTCTGCATTAGCAACTTAGCAAGGTCCTAAAAAAAAAAAAAAAAAAAAAAACAACACTTCCAGGGGGACGGACAACTGACAAACTGGCAAGCTTGAAACAGATTGGGTAGGGAAAATGAAGGCTGCTCCCTTTAGTGAAGAGATAAGAGACAGGGGATTTGTGGTGGGAATTTAGTGTTCCCCATCCTCAATTTATCATTTGATTTTATTGATGGTCTTTATTCTTGTTAAAAATTTGTAATCACGCTTACATGTAGCAGACTTGTTTCTTTGATGCTTTTGGCTTCCTTCCCTCTTTCCCATTTCGGGATTATGTGTATCCATGTGGCATCCATGTGTGAACATTTGGGCCTGCGGCAGGGACACTTGGCTCAGGAGCTGGGGAGGGTTGGAGGCCAGGATAGACTTTGCTGGTCAAGCTGTAGGTAACAACAGATCCAAGGGAAAGTGCTGGGGTCAGAGGTCCTAAGAGGTGGGACAAAGGACCCAATTCTATTCCCTCTTTGAGTCTTGATTTCCTTGTTGGGAACTGGGGTTTAATTTCTGGCTTTTGAGGTGCTGGGGAGGTTCCTGAGTATGGAGGGGAAGAAGCAGCCTTGGAGAAATGTTCAGGGCTGTGCCTCAGGGACAGGGGTCATCACAACACAGGCTACTCCAATCACACTTTGAAGGTAAAGGGCTCGTTCCTTGGACAATTGGGGATGCTGAGGCCAGAGAACATTCTCACAAACTTTGGGCCCCAGGAGAAGCTGAGAGGCCCGTCAGCCCTACAGGGTTCTGGTGGCATGTCAGGATCCTGGGCTCGCCTACCAGAGTCCAGCCTTGAAGGGATTGGGGCCAGGGTGTCCACAGTGAAATGGGGAGTAGAGTCCTAAAGTAGGTTTTAGGGGTGGCCCAGGCCTGCTTCTGCCTGATGCAATGAGCCAGTACTACAGGGAGCAGCTAGGGAACCCAGGAAGCAGAAGCACTTTGCAAACTGAGAAGTGCCTTGTATAGGACAAAGGGAAATTTAAATGACATCATACTTTGCAATCTGTCAAGTGCCGTGGATAAGCTAACTGCTGGATTTGAGTGGACAACTCCGTGTGTTTTCTGACCTAACCTGGGGTTTGGTGGCTGGAGATGGGCCCCTAATCTGTTACTGTTCCCCAGTAAGTGTCGACTGAGCAAGTCCAGCAGGAAATGGGAAGTCTGGGGGTGGCAAACCAGGCAACTGATTCTGTGGCCGTGTCCCCCAGAGCCATCCTCCAGCAGCAGGGCTCACCTATGGATGCCACCATTGCAGCCCTGATCTGTTCCGGCGTTGTCAACCCTCAGAGCATGGGCCTGGGTGGAGGCGTCATCTTTACCATCTACAATGCAACAACAGGTGGGCCCCCATGTGACCCTCCCATGGCGAAAACAGACTTATCCACAATCACAGGGTAACCAATTCCCATGCCCCTTTCTGGGTGATCTCAGGCTCCCCTGCTCTGCCTTCTTCGTTTCCACTGGAAAGCCTTTGTGGGCAGGTTCTATTCCGAGTGTTAGCACCAAGAGGGAAACTGAGACCTAGAATAGGCTGGGGCCATCTGGGGGACTATAACCATTCACCTACTCTGCCTGCCCCAACTCCAGGAAAGGTGGAGGTCATCAATGCCCGGGAGACGGTGCCGGCCAACTATGACCACAATCTGCTGGACCAATGTGAAAAGGCTCTGCCACTGGGCATAGGTGAGGTCCTAGGAGGAATCCCCCACTTCCACCCCACTAAGCTGCTGGGGCTGAGCAGAATGCACCCTGAAGGAACAGTGTCCCTCATGGACAGGTGACACCCTAGGTGGAGCATGAGAGCTGGGGTAGGAGGAGCCCATGCAGAGTCCCTAATCTACTGGGATTGGGGGCATCTTCCTGGAAGAGGGGTTCTCTGGATGGGGAGGGGTGATTCAAGGTTAGAACCAGGCTGGTGGAGATGGGATAGAGGGACAGGGCTTCTGGAGCCAGTCTGTGTAGGACTTTATGAACCTAAAGGTGGACGTGCACAGAAGGCAATGGGGAGCCACGGAGGTCTGTGCGGGGAGGAATATGGTCAGAAATGGACTCCAGAAGCTCACCCTGGCTGCTGTAGCTGGGGTGGGGGTGGGAGCTGAGTGTGGGAGGAAGAAGGAAGCCCTGGGTGGATCTGGAAAACACAGGGCTGAGGGCAGGGGTATGTCACACAGGGGCCCAGTGGATTGGGGTGCCTGGGGAGCTCCGTGGCTACGCAGAGGCCCACCACCGCCACGGCCGTCTGCCCTGGGCACAGCTGTTCCAGCCCACTATTGAGCTTCTCCGAGGGGGATACCGCATGCCCTCTGTCCTGAGCCAGTTCCTGAGCAGCAGGTTCCTGCAGCCTTCCTTACAGGCATCAACCCTGAGGTGAGCACACACAGCGGCCCTGGGCTTAAGGCCACCCCCTACTGACCCCAGCCAAACCCCTGCTCTGCCTTGGTCCCTCCTCACACTGGAGGGTTGACCCTAACATAGTGCCAGGGGTCTTAAGGCCAGGATGGCCAGTACTTCTCTTTCTGGGTCAGAACCTGGCTCAGAGAAGCTAAGCCAGGAAGAATTTGATGCCTAGTTCATGGGAATCCAAGGGTGTGGATTTGGGCTCTGCCATCTGCCTTCAGGCCCTAGGCTTCCTTTTCACTCTCTTTGAGGTGGTAGGAGGGCTTTGGCTGTTCCCTGCCCCACCTGCTATCCCACTGACAGATTTTCCCAGGGTCATGGGAAGGGCGGGCCATGGTGAGCTTAGACTCACTGGGGAAGGTGCCCTCTCTGGGCCAGGGCCGTAAGTGAGGAGGTTGGTATTCAGCCCCACCTGCTTCTAAAGAATCTGTCCCCCCATTATCTACCCCAGTGCCTCAGGACCCCTGGACAGAACTGTCTTCCCCATACAGTCCCTAGGATCACACTAGAACCCTGGCAGGAGTGTGACTGCCCTCTGGGACCTAGCCTCACCCTGAGGTTGCCCCCCACTCCCTAGGCAGCTCTTCTTCAATGGGACGGAACCCCTGAGGCCTCAGGACCCATTTCCATGGCCTGCGCTGGCCACCACCCTGGAGACTGTGGCCACGGAGGGCGCAGAGGTCTTCTACACAGGGAGGCTGGGCCGGATGCTGGTGGAGGATATTGCCAAGGAAGGTCAGCTGCACTGACATTCCAACGCCTCATCCCTGCCAGAGAAAGAGTCAAGGGGGTTGAAGGCAGACCCTGCTAGAGTGCTGGCTGCTCCCAGGTCTCAGAGCGTCAAGGCACCCAGCCTAGCCACTGCTGGCCTCAGGGGCCTCTGTGGTAAAGGAATTCAAGGAGCAGAGCCCTTGTGAATTAGGGCTGATGGAGGGGATTACAGACCTCCACAGCAGGCCTGGGCAGCTGGGTGGACCCACCCTCCCAATTCCCCTCTCCTCTTCCTCTTCCTCTCCCCACACCCGCCTTCCTCTGGTCTCTGTCTACCCACCCCACACCACTGCACATACACCCACCATCACCCTTTCATGTCGACATGGCTAGGGTGCAAGAGGACCCCCGTGAGTATCCTGGTGCCCTTAGCAATCCTTTGCCTCACTTTCCCATCTGTACCTGGAGTCCTCTCCACCTCATCCCAGGGAGCCAGCTGGGTATGCAGGACCTGGTAACCTTCCAGCCTGAGGTGGTGGATGCCCTGGAGATGCCCCTCGGAAACTACACCCTGTACTCACCGCCACCACCTGCGGGGGGTGCCATTCTCAGCTTCATCCTCAATGTGCTGAGAGGTAAGACCTCGCTGGGCCTCTTGACCAGAGCCCTGATGGGAACCGGAGCTCCTAGCCCAGTCTTGGTGTTGGGTGGTGTATCAGTTAGGTTTTCATCATGGCAATGAAATGAAAATTGTAAAGAAAAGGAGTTTCAGGGCTGGAGGGATCTAGCTCAGTGGTAGAATACTTGCTTCGCATACATGAGGTCTTAGGCTAATCCCTTCCACTGCAAAATAAAATAAAGTAAGTAAAATGAAATAAAATATTAGAGAGGATAAAAAAACAAGATGAGCTTGGTGGTACATATCTGTAATCCCAGGTACCTGGAAGGTTGAGACAGGTTCAAAGCCATCATGGGCAACATAGTAAGACTATCTCAAATAAAAAATAAGAATGGCAGAGATATAGCTCAGTGGCAAAGTGCCCCTGCAGTTCAATCTCCAGTACCACAAAAAGGAAAGAGAAAGAAAAGGTTTACTTAGTTCACAGTTTCAGAGGTTCAAGGACATGGTGCCTGCACTGGCTTCATGGTGGGTGATGGATGGCAGACAGCAACGGTACGGCAAGCAGCTACATCTCAAACCAGGAAGCAGAGAGAGGTGGGTGGGGCCAGGCTTGCTCCTTTCATAACAACCCTCTTGTGAGAACTACCGGGGGGGTTGCACACAAAACACCCTCCAACAGCACACCAGTGTCCTAAGGATCTCCCACTAGGCCTCACCTTTTAAAGGTTCTACCACCTCCCAATACCACTACCCTGGGAACTAAGCTTCCAATCACAATAGGCCCTTGAATAGAATGCACCCAAATTATATTCCAACCATAGCAGGTAGCCATTGCCCTTTTCTGCCCAGCTCTCTCCTCCATAAACTGTGTTAGCAGATGCACAATGTCCAAGACAGGGCTATAGACACTGGGCAGGAAGGTGTGTTTTAGAGTTGGTCCTTCTCTAGGGGATTGGCCCATATTTGAGGTTTTGCTAAAGGGACTGACATCTTTTCCCTAGTAGGTGACTCAGTCCCACAGTAACTCAAGGTAGTGAGCAGGTAGTGAGCTTCTCATCAGAGGTATGCACTCAAGTTGAGGTACAACCAGGATATTACAACCTGCAGGGGGCAGGGTCTTGGCAGTGCCCAGGTCTGAGCCTGCCTGAAGTTGATCTGTATTAGTGTTCTGTTGAGTCTTTTTAAGGGACCAGCATTCAATTCACTGTGCAGAGTAACCCCCACCTGCATCCTGCCCCCTCCCAGGGTTCAACTTCTCTGCAGAGTCAGTGGCTAGACCTGAAGGGAGAGTGAGCATGTATCATCACCTTGTGGAAACACTCAAGTTTGCCAGAGGACAAAGGTGGCGGCTGTGGGACCCTCTCAGCCACCCAGAGGTCAAGGTGAGGTTGCCTGGGATTCATGGTGAGTCCTCTTCCTTGCTTCAGGACTCATCATGAAAGGAGGGTCAAGCCTGGCTGGGGAGGCTAGAAGGATTATAGTGGGTCTAGGCCAGGATAGCCTGGGAGGGCTCAGGGAAGGAAGAGTGTAGTGGTCCTAGGCACTGGAAGCGATCCAAGTGTGGGGAGCAGGTTCTGGGTATAGTCTGTCCTTCAGGTAAAGGATCAACCAAAGGAGCTGAGCTTGTTCTACCCTATGCTCTGAGGATGCTACCTGGCCCCTTACTGACCCTGGCACTTGCTTACTTGCCCCAGAATGCCTCTCAGGACCTGCTAGGGGAGGCTCTGGCCCAGCACATCCGCCAGCAGATTGATGAACGTGGTGACCACCAGCTCAGCCACTACAACCTGGTCAGGACCTGGGACCACAGGATGGGCACCTCTCATGTGTCTGTGCTGGGAGAAGATGGGAGTGCTGTGTCTGCCACCAGCACCATCAACACTCCGTGCGTGAGGCTGGGGGCAGGTGGGCAGGCCTCTCTCCTTTGCTCCTAAGACCTAAACTCCCTCCTGATCTTTACCTGCCAACCTCCCCTTGCTAGTCCCCATGGGGCGATCCCTTGGCTTTTGCTCTTCCCTTCCTCCTGTGTCTCAAAAGGAGTCATACCCAGGACATCTGTGGTTGAAAAGGTTACTGCTGGGTGGCTCTGAGCCAGGACCTGCCTGGAATGGGCCTTATTCAGAAGGGTATCCTGATGGGAAAAGGAACAAGGGAATATTTGGGGTCCTGGGTGGATCCAGGCTCCAGAATGCTGGTGGAGAGCCATATCATAAGGGATACTGAGAGGTTGGTGCTCTATGTTGATGGGAGCCCAAGCCTAGGCTCCGTCTCCCCTGCCTGCAGCTTTGGAGCGATGGTGTACTCGCCGAGCACAGGCATCCTCCTCAACAATGAGCTACTGGACTTATGCTGGAGATATTCACAAGGTTCCAATGTCACCCCGCCACCAGGTGAGAGCCAAGCCTCCAGTCCAACTTCCACAGGTACCCACTGGGGAGAGGAGGGAAGGTGGGCAGCTACGTGCCAATCCTTGGATGGGTCACCCCTCTCGCTGAGCTGGAGGGTGTGGGTGATGCCTATCCCCAGTTCCAGGTGAGCGGCCTCCATCATCCATGGTACCCTCCATCTTGGTCAACAAAAACCAAGGGTCAAAGCTAGTGATTGGTGGAGCTGGTGGGGAACTCATCATCTCTGCTGTGGTCCAGGTGAGTCTGGGGGTTGCTGGCTAGTGTAGCCTATTGTCTGACTCTCTAGAGTCGGGGTAAGAGGGTTGGTATGGGGTGGCTGGTGACTTCTCCTCCCTCCATCCTTCTGTTCTCTCCCAGACAATCATGAACAAGCTGTGGCTTGGCTTTGACCTGACAAAAGCCATTGCGGCCCCCATCCTGCACGTCAACAACAACGGCCATGTGGAGTACGAGCCCAAATTCAGCCAGGTGAGGCTGAGTTCTGAGCCAGCACCCCAACCACCCAAGTCCATGCTGCTCAGTGACCTCTGGGAGGAACTCAGCTTCTGTGTGTCTCAGGCCAGACACTGTTCACCTTTGGGGGCCTTTGGCTACTGAGTTGAGAACCTCAATGGGTAAGGTACTTGTCCTATCTTGTGACCTCCAAGACAGAGAGCAGGGTGTTGCCTATGTTTCTCCCAAGCTGACAGCCTCAACCTCTTGGTTCCTGATCTTTTATACCATTTTTTGGAAGCTAGTTTTCCTGGCTATGACCTCTCACACTTTCCCTCTTGGTGATTTTTTTCTTGTGTAGTTTGAAATGCTTATTAGGGAGTTTATTCATGAGAAGAAGTTATTTTTTTCTCTACAGAGTGATTTTTTTTCCTAGAACACTGGGGGTTGTGTTGGTGTTAGTTCTTACAAACATTTTTTGATTACTCCAGCAAAGAACATGGTAGAGGTCCAGGGGCTGAATTCTCTAGGCTGGCTAGCCCTTCCCTCCCCAGATGGACAGTTAGCTTCCTTGGAGCATCTCAGGGCTGCTGGATGCCCTTTGCTGGGACCCGTTTAAAAGGCTAGCAGCTTTTTGAACCTGCAAAATTTAGGTATAGGGTCAGTTCAACTGGCTGGCATTTGAGGTTCTCAAAGCAGCCTCTTTGTCTCAAGGCTGCCTTGCAAGGCCCTTAGAATTATGAGGATTGTATACTGGGGCCATTAGTTCAAAGTGGGTATATACAAAAGATCCTCGACTCATGATGGTTTGGGTTAAGGATTGTTCAACTTTCTAATTGTTCAAATGTCATATGCATTCAGTAGAAATCGTACTTCAAGGTGCCCTAATTGTACGTTAGTGGTAAGTTCCTATACAACTTTTCTATTTTTCATTTTCAATGTAGTATTCAATAAATTATATGAGAGAGTCAACACTTTATGAGGAAATAAGCTTTGTGCTAGATGATTTAGCCCAACTGTAGGCTGAAGTAAGTGTTCTGAGCATGTTAAGTATGGCTAGGATAAGGTATGATGGCTGGAAGGTTAGGTGTATAAAATACATTTCCCACTTGGGATATTTTCAACTTGCAATAGATATAACCCTAACTTGTGAAGAAGCATCTATAGTGTCAGAGAACCTTGGTGTTCCAGACCGTGAGATTAAGGACCTCAGCCTATTGGGCTGAAACTCTTGGAGTTTGAGGCTTCCCTTCCCTGTGTAGGGTCCTCCAACGACCTTGAGTACTCTCTTGGAGCACCAGGGTCTAGAAAACTTAAGTCTGGAAGATCCAGTAACCAGGGCATATCCTCTTAATTTCTTCCTCCTTGATCTTGACTAAAGGCCCTTACTCTGTGAACATCATTTTTTAGGCACTCTGCAAATGTCAGAGACTGGGAACTGGGATTAATGGAATTCAGTGGCCCATGAAGCCAAGATCCTCAGCTCCCTCGGGAAGTCAGAGTGCCAGACATGCAGATTAAACCCTGGGGTGGAGACTGTGAGTGGCCAAGGACTTTCATGGCCAAAGTCCAAAGACAAAGGCAAAAAGGGCCTTGAAGTTTGGCCACTAGATTCTGAGAAATGGGGCCTCTAAGGACTGAAAATCTAGCAGTGAGGGTCTTGGCCTATAAGTCAAAGGACATTGGCAATTCATATGTCAGGCACAGAGAAACTTAGAACTAAGAGTCCAGGACTCCAAAGACTCTTCCATGCCAGTGGCTCAGGTAGCTCAGCATCACCCAGTGACCTCATATTGGAAGTCCTCATTCTGAGAACTGCAGACATCTTTGTACCTGGATGTCTCTGGAATCATGGGCCCTGATGGGCAAGGTTCTTAGTCCAAAATGGTGCCTGGAAACATGAGGCCAAAGAGGCTCAGGTTTAGGATTTATGAACTGATAAATATGAGTAGGTGCTACTCTAGGGTATAGTACTTAGTATCTTAGAAAACAGTACCTCAGGGTTAAGGGCCTGTCTTGGTCTCTAACAGCCTGAAAGTCCACAGATTCAGGGTCCTGAGGGTGAGTTCTTGGGGCCCAGGCCCTGAGTATCTCCCACTATTAGATCACTCGTGCTTTTACCTGGGGCGCTACCTCCTCCATCAAGAACCTCCAGAACTCCTCAGATTTGCATTCTGAGGCCCTGGTACCAAAATGCATCTCAAGGTCCATTTGGCCTGAGTAATGTCCCCATTGCACAGTCCCCAGAGGCAGACCTGCCCCTCTAAGTCCTTCTGATCTCTTCAGGCTATTGAGTAAAGCCACAGACTCTCTGGCCTGTGACCAGCACCCACCCCCTCCACTGCTTTCCCCCTTTCCTGTCCCTCCTTCTTGGTCTGTTTTCCTCTTTCCTGTCCAGCCTCTCCCCTCTGGAGGTGGATTCAGCCAACCTCCTGTGAACCTGTCTTCTTTCTTCTCCAGGAGGTGCAGAAAGGGCTACAAGACCGTGGCCAGAACAAGACCCAGAGGCTGTTTTTCCTGAATGTGGTCCAGGCTGTGTCTCAGGAGGGGACCTGTGTGTATGCTGTTTCTGACCAGAGGAAAAGTGGAGAGGCAGCAGGCTACTGAGGAGACAGCTTAGCTCGGAGCCAGACTTCTGCCTTGGCTGGACTAGTCCATGGGACAAAGCATTTTGGCAGGATCTAGACCCCTGACGGAAAGGTCAAACTGGAACTGAAAGAGGCAAAGCTGCCAGGGTGGGCTGCCTGCCCTAGATGGACCTGGGTGTCTTGCACCACACTGATTCCTGGCAGATGGATGACTGTGGGGGCTGAGCCTTGTTCTAACCCTTCCCCCACAGCCCCTGGTGGCCATGCCTTGGCTTCTCTAGCATTCCCCTGGCCTCTTGCCCACCTTCCCAATCTGTGTATCCACCAGTCCAAGATTAAAGAGGAACCGGATGATAGCCCAATTCAGTGGTTCTGAGCAGGGGAGGGGACCCTCAGATAACAACCAGTGGGGTGCATGCACACAGCAAGCTTCTGTGGTCCTCCATAATGCACCACCACAGAGGTGGGGAACCAAGACTCAGACATGGGCTGGGCCTCACCCAGGCCACCCCTGGACAGAGGCACCCCTACTCTGCTCCAGTCACAGCATTTTGGGGCACTCATGTTCAGCTAGTCCCAGTCCTCCTATTGGTGGGAAGGCAAGGACATGGCCTGGAGCCCCTGCTCCAGCCAACTCCTAAAGAGCCTTGGCCCTTCTCTGGATCTTGTCCTCCATGTCAAGAAAAGGATGTGCAAAGCAAGACCTGAGACCCCCAGCAGCCCCAATACCCATATTCTTGACACCAGGTTTTCTCATCCTTGGCAACACTGACATGTGGGATAGAATGATTCTTTGTGTTGGGGGGGGGGGCAGCATTCCTAGCCTCTGCCTGCCTAATACAATAACACCCACCACCACATACACCAAGAGATGACAACTCAAACTTGAAACAGTGCCACGTCACCCTGGTTGAGAACTGCCTGTGCAAACCAGTGAATCCCCAACTGCTGTGAGTGGCTTTGCCAGCTGCCAGGGTGGGCTGCCTACCCCGGGGGCCACCCTAGATGGACCTGGGTGTCTCGCACCACACTGGTTCCTGGGAACATTGGTGGGTGTTTGTCACTCCAAAAGTGCTGCTGTGGTTGGTTTTAATCCATTCAGGTTGCTATGAAAAAATACCATAAAGTGGGTGGCTTCTGGTATTTTATAGAACTTATCACTCATGATTCTGGAGGCTGGGAAATCTGAGATGAAGGTGCCAGCAGGTTTGGTGTCTGGTGAAGGTCCACCCCTTCATAGATGGCACCTTCTAGTTGTTTCCTCACATGGTAGAAGAGGATAGATAGCTCTCTTTTATAAGGCACTGGAGTCATCCTTCATTATCTGTGGAGGATTGGTTCCAAGCCCTTCCAAGGATACCAAAATCCATGACTGCTCAAGTTCCTTTTATAAAATAGCATAGTCTTTGCGCATAACCTATGCACATCCACCCAAACACTATAAATCATCTCCAGATTACTTATAATACCTAATAACAAGTTGTGTGAAGCACCTATAATCCTAATACTCAGGAGGCTGAGGCAGGAGGATCACAAATTCAAGGCCTGTCTAGACAATTTAGTGAGACCAGGGTGGGGGGTCAGGGGGGTGCTTGGGTGTAGTTCAATGGTAGAGTGCGTTCTTAGCATGTGTGAGGGCCTGGGTTTAATCCCAGTACCACAAAACAACAACCAACCCATGCAGTGTCAATGCTATGTAAGTAGTTGATATACTGTGTTGTTTAGGAAATAATGTAAAAAAAAAGAAAAGAAAAAAAGTCTACATGTGCATTTTTTAAAAATTTATTTTCAATGCTGAAACTCAAAAACAGGGATTTTGTCTGCATTAGGCAAACCATCTACTACTGAGATATGTGCCCATGCCCCTTTGTGAATATTTTTGATCTGTGGTTAATTGAGTCCATAGTTGATTGAATCTGCAGATGCAAAATCCACTGGGCACAGAGGGATGACCATAATCCCATTCATGAGGTTCCATCCTCATGACATAATCAATCACTTTTCAAGGTATCTTTTAATATCATCACACTGGTGATTAAATTTCAACATACTGATTTCGGGGAGGACATAAACATTCAGACCATTGAAGGGGTGTACCTCTACTTGTCAGAGCCAAGGAACATGCTATACCACATGGTAGAACCTCCCATTCCCCGCTACAGTTCAGTCAAGCAGGAAAAAGGTAGTCTTTTAGTTTCTCACAGTGGCTATAAAAAATACCACAAATTCCTGGCTTAAAACAATAAAATTAAGTAGTCAGGTGTGGCATGATCTGCCTGTAATTCCAGCAACTTTGAGAGGCAGAGGCAGGAAGATCACAAGTTCAAGACCAGCCTGGGCAACTTAGCTAGACCCTGTATCAATCAATCAATCAATCAATGGATAGATAAAAATAAATAAAAATGATAAATTTAAAAAATGGGTTGGGGGGGCTGGGATTGTGGCTCAGTGGTAGAGCGCTCGCCAAGCATGGGCGGGACCCTAGTTCGATCTTCAGCACCACATAAAAAATAAAGGTATTGTGTCGTGTCCATCTACACCTAAAAAATAAATGTTAAAAAAAAATGGGTTGGGAATGTGGCTCAGCAGTAGAACATCCCAAGGTTCAGTTCACAGTACTGCAACACATATATACATATGATACAATTTATTCTCTTACAGGCCAGGAGTCCAAAATCAGTATCATTGGACTTAAAATCAAGGTGTGGGCAGGTTGCACTCTCTCTAGAGGCTCTGGGGAAGAATCTGTTTCTTGCCATTTCTTTGCTTTTCCCTAGAGGCCATATCATTGCAGTCTCTTCTTCTGTGGCCACATGGCCTTCTCTGTATGTGTATGTCAAATCTCTCTCTGATGAGGGAGGGTCTGGGTGGAGAATGAGCCTCAGAAAGCTATTAAGGACTCTGGTGGGAATAGATGGCCTATTCTTATAATCTTCCCATTCCAAAATCCTTAATTTAATCACATCTACAAAATAATTTTTATAAAAGATATCATTCATGGGCCAGGTATGGTGGCATATTTCTATAATCCCAGTAACCCAGGAGGCAGAGGCAGGAGGATTGCAAGTTAGAGGCCAGGCTGAGCAACTTAGCAAAACCCTGTCTCAAAACAAAATTTTCAAAGAAGTGGGATACAGTGGCACATGCCTATAATCCCAGCAATTTAGGAGGCTGAGACAGAAGGATCACAAGTTTGAGGCCAGCCTTGGCAGTTTTAGTGAGACCCTAAGCAACTTCATGAGACCCTGTTTCAAAATTAGAACATAAAAAGGGCTGAGGATGCAGCTCAGTGGGAAAGCTCCCCTGGGTTAAAACCCCAGTATCCCCACTCAAAAAACAAAAAAATTAAAGAGTTAAGGATTTCTCTTAGAGGTAGAGCCCCAAGTTCAATTCCCAGTACTGCAATAAATAAATAAACAAACAAATAAATAAACAAAACCCATTCATGGGTTTTGAGCCTCAGAACATGGCCTTATCTGAGGGCTACATATGTGAGAGAGACCTAGATGGGACAGACTCCTCATCTGGGCTTGACTGGGTGGCTAGAGGTAGGGGTGTCTTACAGATTAGGGGAAAGGCCTGGGGGCAAAGAATGTCTTAGTTTGAGATGACCATGGGGGCAGTCCTGCCACTGTCACTATGACTGTTGGGGGAATGGTATCTGCTGTCAGAGTCTTGCTTTGGGAAGAGTGGGTAGGTGTCCTTTGGAAAAGGCAGGTCTAGTTCAGGGGTCCAAAGTTTAGATAGAAGAGGAAAGTCCCTGAAGTGCTTCAGAAGTGGCAGGATCTGAGTCTGACCCCAGACCCTCAAGACTCTCATGTGGTGGCCTCACTATGGATGGGCTCCCCAGCCACTGTCTCAGGGGCTTTAGCACATAAGTAGACGGGTTAGTCAGCTCTCTAGCACTGTGACAAAATTCCTGAGATATTCAATTGATAAGGATGAAAGGTTAATTTCAGCTGATGGTTTCAGAGGTTTCCTGGTCACCTGGCTCTGTTGCCTTTGGGCCTTTGGTGAGGTAGAACATCATGATGGCAGCATGTGGTAGAGCAAAGCTGCGCACTTCATGGCACCCAGGAAACGAGAGAGAGGAAGGAGCCAAGGTCCTAATATCACTTTCAAGGGCACACCTCTCAATGACTAAACTTCTTTCCACTAAGATCTGCCTACTAAAGTTTCCGCCCCCTCCCAGTAGTGCCATAGGTCAGCCCCCAAATCTTCAGCACACGTCCTTTGGGAGACATTTAGGACCCAAACCATAACACATAACCATTCCCTTGATGGTTCAGTAAAGCCATTGACCTAAAATAACAAACCCAGAGAGTTTTCCAAGATAATGAGTTTATTTGGGGAGAAGCAGAGTACAGTGAAGGGAACGTGCTTTGGTATATTTAAGGAGGTAGAGGTGTGGGGGAGTTTTGAAAGGCAAATTAGGAGGGTTGCGTAACTTGTTTTGAAATAATCATCCTTGGCTACAAGGATCAAAAATGAGGGTGGTGTCAGCCCAAGTTGGGGTTGACGGTTGTTGGGCAGAAATATTTCTGTATAAGGTTGTGGTGGCCTTTGTGCAAGCTGTGGTTGTGGCAGAGACTTTTGTGACAGTTCTTCTTATCAGGCATGCATGTGTAAAATCCCCACCCTACTGTATTTATTGTTAGGGTTTGACAGAAGTAACTCTGTTTGGGTTCTGATGATTTTCACATGGTTTAATAAAAGTCTCGGGGCCAATTCTCATCAGCCTAAACAGAGTCCCCTTCCTGGACAATCTTTACAGTCAGGGGAGGGGCAGGGATGGGAAGTAGCCATTGGCTTAGGTCTAAGTGGTGTCCCTTGAGAACTGCTGGTAGCATCCATCTGTTCCAAATCCAGCAGGCCCAAGAAAACCAGGGAGGCTGCTGGGCACAACCCTCAGCCATTGCATGGTAGGAGCTTGGCTTTGCACTCCCAGATCTGCACCTGGCCCCAGAGTCCAAGGAGGCTGCCAGAACTGGCCTTGGAAGGCCTTGGAAGGCCTTGTAAGTCCCTCTAATCAGTGCTTCCCAGTGGTGCCCACAGAACATGGTAACTTACCCCCGCATGTCTAGAGTGGAGAGGGGGGTCCTTTAGTGTGCAACCCAAGTCCCTGGTGCCTTTCCTAACTCACCTACAGGGCAGTGGAGGGTACACTCCCTGGACTCTTGGCCATCCCCTAGGATTGTCACCCAGGCAGAAGCAGCTCAGTCACTATTTCCGAGCTGATGGATTCCTGCCCCAGATCTGGCCCAGTTTTCTGAAGCACTGAATCTACATCCAACTGAGCACCCGCCTATTTCCAGAGCGTCTGGGACCCACAGACCCCTCTGACTCAACACACCAGACCAGA